GCGAACATGTGTTTTCTTGTTGCTTATTGGGCACATCACAGGGAAGAGTGTTGCGAATGACGATATGACAACCAGCAGCGCAGTGATGGCAACAACTCTGTGGGTCCAGCCCGCGGGGAACACACTGGCTTTCAGGCATCATGCATCACTTTTCTTGTGGGTATTAGTGTCATCTACCAGCTCAATTATATAATCCCCTGGAGATACATTTTGAAGGAGGCAGCTGGTTGTATTTTGCTCCTGATAATAGGCCTTTTCTCTTGAAGGTCCCTCATGCTTGAGCTTGTAATGGAGGTAGAGGAAGCGGAAGGCAAAGGGGGGTGCCTGCATATCCGAACCATACTGGGTGATATTCAGGTTCCCAGGCTATAAAAAGCCACAGGCTCAGGTTCTGAGAAATAAAGGGTGATAATTGCTTTCCTTTTTCATGGAACGAAAAGGGACATTCTTTACAAAGAAATCCGTCTCAAACTTCATATTCAGGAAAGGTTGAGATTACATTCCAGTTCTTTTGAAACTACTGTTGAGCTGCTTCAGAGTCAGTTGTTGGAATTGTCTTCCTTCTGACTTCAGCTCCTCCAGTACTACCCGAAATCCTTGTAGGAATTCCACGCCCAGGGCCCCTGGGGACCAAAGAATAGTGACTGCCACTTGGCCATAACAGGCGAACTGACTCATCAGCAATCACAGGATTCAAGTATGTGGTTCAGTCTGATTTGGTAAGTAGGGAACCAAAGTTGGAACCCAGGCCTACCTTAGAGATGACCAGAGGGCCCTGGGTCAATCTGGAACAGATTCACTTGGCCCATCCCATTCTGTGTTTTGTCATATTACAATTAATTATTATGACTTCTAAAAATCAAAATTATAATTCAGTATTGAGGAGTATTCAATATGTAACGATCCAATCGTTATAATAATGATTAGTTATTGATATTTATAATTTCTCTTTATTGACATTCTCCTATATCAATAGAGAGAAGGAGTTTATATCTAAGACGATTATTTCCTCTCAACTATCTGAACTAAGGCATATTTCTGTAATAGGTGAACACACCATTTCCTTTATAAAAGTTTTGACATTTTAAACTTTTCCTCAGGCCTTGGACCTTGTCATGGTGATACACTCCTGTAGCCTGATATTTTGGAAAATGTTCTTAAGAACTGATATTATTTCACTGCTAAAATGCTCAATGTTTTTCTTCCTTTGAGCCAGTTTATTACTCTGTAGCATGCAATAGGATTTATGTTTCTTCTGCTCACAATCATACCCATTAATCACCTAGAACTTGGAAAATGGAGGAAACACACCACTGCCTGTTAATAGTTGAAGAAAGCAAGACTGAAAATTTTACCTTCTCTTTCCTGAGCATCAAAGTTGGTGGAATTCACTGCCAGAGTTACTGGATTTAGTCTCAAGACTTGATTCATGTTTTTTGTTGCTTTTATGTTTTATATACTCTCCTTTTTTGGTTATCAATCTTGTTATATTGGATTTTACTCCAATACCTACTCAGTAAATAAGAAAAAATAATTTTGAAAGTTCTTTGACATTAACATTTACTCTTTGTCACAACTTTATTTTAAGCAAGTGCAGAGTATATCTTCAAAGCATGCTTAAAATAAAGTTGTGACAAAGAGTTAATTATTAAGATTACAAAGAACATAAACAGCATGATTTCATTTATAATTATAAATGTAGACTTAAAATAAGAGAGAGAACATTGGTTACATTTTTGTTGTTGTCAGCTTCACAAGTCTCTTCTTGATGTTTAGAGCCAGTAGTAGGAGGGTGTCGGGTGAGGGAATGGGCGTGTGGGAAAAGGTTATGCTCCCAAGGATCTGCTTTCTTTTATAATTATAGATTAGATGACTAAAGTCTTATGGAAAGCAAGGAATTCTATACTCATACTGTAGAGAATAAGGTAAAATTACAAGTGCATTTAAAAATATGTTTGTTATTATCACCAAGTTGGAATTAAAGGTAGAAAACAAGAAATTGCTATTGGATGCATTTTGAACACTTTCCCCCCCCCCTCCCCATCGAAGGAAAACTTATTACCAGTACAAATGTTAAAGGACCTCAAGCTGTTTCTGAATTTAAAACTTTACTTTGCACGACAACCTAAAGATTAACCTTTATTTTGTTTCTGACAAAGTACAGAATTTACAGTGTCGTAGCACATAACAAATGTCATAGTTTATATTTATAAAATACCCTTATTTAAACAATTGATTATTTTATTGCAAATGCTACTCTTAATACTTATTAGCATAATGTGGCAAATCTGATTATTGACCAAACTTAAAAAAATAAACATGATTAATATAAGTAATTTTCTTAAAAAATGAAGGCAATTTGCCTGTATAATTATGGATGTTATTTTTAGTAGCTGAATATTTATAAACAATAATTTAGGGCCTATTGAATACTGTTGTCATTTGCATTGCTAATAATATTATTTAAACTTAAAACAGTATTTTAATGTGGCTCTTTAGGCTTATTTAATTAATCATTTGCTTAACATTTGCTTTATTTGCTGAATATAAAGAAGAAACAAACTGATAGTCCACTTTGTATCACTATGATAACATCATCTAAATTGTGTTTATACTAAAGGCCTGGTGCACGAAATTCATGCAAGTGGGTGGTGGTGGTGGTGGTTGTCCCTAAACCCAGCCTGCACCCTCTCCAATTCAGAACCCTTGGGGGATATCCTACTCAAAATCTGGGACCGTTGGCTCCTAACTGTGCACCAGCCTGCCTGCCTTATCACTCCTAACCACCTATGTCTACGTGCCTGATCCCCCTAACTACTCTCCCCTGCCGGCCTGATCCTTCTAACTGCTCTCCCCTAACAACCTGATCCCATAATTGCTCTCCCCTGCTGGCCTGATCCCCGTAACTGCTGTTCCCTGCCATCCTGATTGCCCCTAACTGCCTCTGCCTTGGCCCTGCCACCGTGGATTTGTCCAGAAAGGCATCCAAAAGGTTATCTGGAAGATATCTGGTCTAATTAGCATATTATCCTTTTATTAGATACATAATAACTAGAGGCCCAGTGCACGAAATTCATGCAAAAAATAGGCCTTCCTTCCTCTGCTACCAGCACCGTCTTCCCTCTGGCATCCCAGACCCAGGCTTCCCTCCGGCTGCTGGCTGGTACTCAGGACCCAGGCTTCCCTGGCAGCCCAAGCTTCATCCAGAAGGTTGTCTGGAAGGATGTTCAGTCTAATTAGCATATTGTGTTTTTAATATTATAGAAGATTCCAGGGAGTATATTCTGTTATTGCTGGAATTTAAATTATGCATCAGACTATATCTATAAGTAATCATTAATGTCATTGCTTTCTGTTTAATTAGAGTACAATTTTGGAATAAGTCTAGGGAAAAAAGAGGTATTTAAGGTTTCATAATGTTACTATTGATTACTAATGATGTGACAATTAAATTTGATTTCCAACTTAGTTTAAAATGCCACTAAATAACTAGGGTAGACATATCATTATAATCATCATCAACATCATTTGTTCATTCTTTTTGACAAACAGTGGCACACAAAATAGAGAAGCAGAAAATAATAGTTCCTAGATTATATACTTCAATCTTGTTAAGTATTACAGGAAATCAATGAAAGTCCAGAGAATGTTATTATTTATGTATTTATCCATTTACTAGAGGCCCAGTGCATGAAAATGCATGCACTGGAGGGGAGGTCCCTCAGCCTAGCCTGCCCCTTCTCACAGTCTGGGAGTCCTCAAGGGCAGGAGATGCCCCCATCAGACCTCTGCTGCTGCCACTTCTGGCAGCACAAGCCTTGGCCGGGCTTGGTTACTTTACCCTGGGGTGGCCCTGGGTGGCTGGGCAGCTACCATCCAAAGCTTGACTGTGCCTCAGGCAAGTCCTGGGAAGCTGAGAGCCTGAGGGGACTGGGAGACTCCTGAGGGAGGCGCTTGGCAAGGCCGGGCCCTGATGGTGCTGAGGAGACTGAGCACCACCAATCTGTGGCTGTGGGTACTGCCATCTTTGAGAGCATGTCAGTATATTAGCATATTCCCACCTTATAGGCAGTGGGCATAGCTATCTTTGAGGATGGGGCAGTCACCTAGCATATTTCTTCCTTATTGGCTGTGGGCACTGCTATCTTTGAGGATAAGACAGTCAATTAGCATATTCACTCCTTATTGGCTGTGGGCTCCGCCATCTTTGCGGCAATGTGAAGGTCAATTAGTATATCCCCTCTTTATTAGATAGGATTTTTATTTATCCTTACCCGAGAATACTTTTTCAATTTTCTTGTTTTTTTAAAGAGAGAGTGGAAGGGAGAGGTACAGACAGAAACATTGATGGGAGAGAGACACATCAATTGGTTGCCTCCTGCACACATCCCAACTGACAACTGAGGCATGTTGCCCTTAATTGGATTCAAACTCATGGCCCTTCAATCCATAGACCAACAATCTAACCACTAGCTAGGACTGCGTTTATTTTGTAGTCTTTTAAACAGTAGCTGGCACAGCCTGTACTACAGCATACAAGAGAGAATTAGGGCTCAGTATTGTTTTCTATAATCCTGGAAAAAGCTGGGACTATTTGATCTAATCCTTTCTTGAGAAAATCATAGCAAACAATGATCTCTTTTGAATTCCTCATTCAATTGCTTATTTTGGAGGACAGTCCTAACATGTTTTCTCTGGACACCATCTTTGCAGAATTATAAAACTTTCTATGTTATATAAGCTAAATTGGGTTGTGGACTGCAGCCCATAATAGTGCTATAGGGAATATAATCCCAATTAGTAATTTCAATGGGGAATATAATGAAGTAAAAATATCAGTCAGATCATTTGCAAAAGCAAATGATGTAGTTAAATGTTTAATTCTTTGAGCAAAAACATATTGATCCAATGTGAGTATAAGCCTGAATTACTGTCTGGTGTATTAAGTAAGTTTACCAGTGATTACCCTAAGTCTAAATGCTGACTCTTGTTTCTAATAGCCCACTTTCTCTCACTGGTCTCCAAAGTGGACTCTCCTTCAAACTTAAGAAGCCGAGTTTTTCTTCCAACGAATAACCTGCATCCTTGTCAGGTATTTCAAAACACACAGCACTTTAAAACTTTTTACATTTGGGAACTTCTTTATTATAATTGTTTGAATATTAATTATTTTTTCACAGGTTACATTTTATTACTTCTCCAGCCATATGAGTGGCAAATTGACAGCTGGCTTTCAAACTACATGTGGGGGTCCTGTTCAACCTTTATGGCAAAACAGAGCTGGGCCCCAACATCAGTGGGAGAAAAAGGTCATCAGCATTCAGTGCTCCCAGAAATTTCAGGTATGTTTGTTATATTTTCTAGCTATTTTTTTAAACAAAGCTGTTAAGTTGCAATTTTCTTAAAAAGAACTTCCTTTAAAAATATGTTTTTATTGATTTTTAGAGTACTAGGTGAATTAAAAGTTGGATGAATAACTGTCCCATTTGGCATAGGACTGAGGGATTTGCCAGGACTTTTAAGAGTTGAGACCAAATAGTTCCCAGAAATTGGGTTGGGCAGTCACCCCAAAAGACACTTAAAAATGGTTTTATGGCCAAAACCGGTTTGGCTCAGTGGATAGAGCATCAGTCTGCATACTGAAAGGTCCCAGGTTTGATTCCAGTTAAGGGCATGTACGTTGGTTGCAGGCATACCCCAGTAGGGGGTGTGCAGGAGGCAGCTGATCTATATTTCTCTCTCATTTATGTTTCTAGCTCTCTATCCCTCTCCTTTCCTCTCTGTAAAAAATCAATAAAATATATTAAAAAAAGGTTTTATGTTAATGTATTAAAACTGAAGTTGTTAAATATTAAGATATATTGATATATCAGTAAAGTATAACCTTCTAAATTTCTTCTTAAATTTTTGAGTCCCCCTCATTTTTTTCTTTATTTCTCTTACTGTTCCAATGTACTATTTCTTTTAATTTATTCTTAAGGCCCACTCTCCTTTCAGACTTTTCTCATGTTTTTGAGAGAACAGGCTTTTGTTTGGCAATGAGGAAAATACTGTTTAATTAAATACTCACTGGTCATATTAATTTCATGGTTAAACTCAAATTATTCAATACTTCCTTTATTTTCCAAAATAGTTTTGTGAAATAAAGTCAAAGCAAACCTTTAAAATTTAAACTTATTTATATAACCTAATAAAACTTATGTATGGTAGAAATTATAATCTAATGATTATTACAAGGGTTCTTGGAAAAGTATGGCATATTTTAACATTTGGGACAGCCAAGCAAAATTTTCCAGTTAAAAGAGAATCTTAAAGCATTTTATTCTGAATTAATTTGCTTTTTAAACCTGATTTGTGAGCCAATATAGGCCAAATGGGTTTCCTTTATAATCTTTATTAAGATAGTATAATATAGTCAATTTTATAATTTTGTTAAAGAGTGCAAAATCATTTGATATGTGATGAATTTAGCATTTGCTTTAATATCAAACTTGAATTGGAGTTAATTTTAAGTTCAGCTATTTTGAATGGCAAAGTGGAAAGATAGGAGAATGAGCAGGGTCACTATTATAAAAATTAAATTATAAAATATAAGAATGGCATAATTGAGCTGTCATAAAATCACAGTAGTTTGGAATTTTCAGACTTTTGTAAACTAAATGTGTATTTGAATAAATTAAAAGGAAAGCACTTAATAGATGGATAAATGACACCTGGACAGATAAATCTTAAATGGAATTTTATGGTTAGAAACACAGTTCTGTAATTTTGAGCCTTTGCACTCAATTTAAATGATATATCAGTTTGTGTTGGGAGGTTATCCTAAGCCATTAGGCATTTAAGTCCTCCTATGAATGATTGATTCATTTATTAAACAAAGACTTATTTGAGGCACTAAAGATGCTGTGGGTGGGATTCATGGAATGTTCCCAGCTCCATGTTAATGGGAAAAGAGTTCCCCAGCTGTATTGAGATAGAGTTGACATGTGAAATTATGTACGATTAAGGGTATAAAGTGATGATTTGATGCAGGTATATATTGTGAAATGATTATCAAAATAAAGCTAGTTAATGCACCCATCACTTCACATAATTCTACAATAGGTTGTTTTTGTTGTTGTGTGTGGTGAAAATATTTAAAATCAGTAGCTAGGGTGGCTCAGTTGGTTGGGCCCTGACCCCTGCACCCTAGGGTTGCCATTTTATTTTATTTTATTTTATTTTATTTTATTTTATTTTAATTTAATTTAATTTAATTTATTTTTAACATTTTATTATAAAATAAATAAATAAAATTTTACAAAGAGGAAGGGAGAGAGATAGAGAGTTAGAAACATCAATGAGAGAGAATCATCAACCTGCTGCCTCCCTACTGGGGATGTGCCCGCAACCAAGGTGCATGTCCTTGACCAGAATCAAACCTGGTCAGTCTGCAGTCTGAGGCTCTATCCATTGAGCCATACTAGTTTTAGCAGGGTTTGCCATTTTAATTCCTGGTCAGGACACTTGCCCAAGTTGCAGACTTAATCCCCAGTAGGGGGTGTGCAAGAGCCAGACAATTGATATTTTGCTCTCACATCACTGCTTCTGTCATTCCTCTCTTCCTCTTTGTTTAAAAATCAATTAAAAATCTTTTAAAAATTAAAACATCTACTTTTTTATTAACCAATTTTCAAGTACATATTATAATATTATTAGCTAAATTCACCATGTTAGATACCCTGAACTTATTCATCTTACAATTGGAAGTTAATATCCTTTGACTAATATTTCCTCTCTCTACAGCCTTTGGCAACTACCATTCTGCTCTTTTTTAAAAGTTATTATTATTTTTAATTGAATTTATTGGAGTGACATTAGTTCACAAAACCATGCAGGTTTTACGTGTACAATTCAATAAAACATCATCTGTTCATTACATTGTGCACCCATTGCCCAATGCAAAGTCCCTTTCCATCCCCACCATTTCTCTATTCTTTGATTTTTATGAGTTTGGATTGTTTCAATTATACATATAAGTGAGTTTATATAATATTTGTCTTTCTTTGTCTGATTTATTTCAATTAGCATAATACCACATAGGTGGTCATAAATGGTAGGATTTCCTTTTTTTAAGAATTATTTCTTTGTATGAATAAAGCATATCTTCTTTTTTTATTTTTTATTTTATTTTATTTTATTTTATTTTTTATTTATTTAAAAAAAATTTTTTATTGATTATGGTCTCACATAATTGTCCTTATTCCCCCATTCCACATTTTCTTTATTCATTTACCATCCACAGATACTTGAGTTGTTTCCATGTCCTAAGATTATGAGTAATGCTGCAGATATGGGAGTATAGCTATCTTTTTTGAGACAGTTATTTCATTTCCATTGAATATATATCCAGAAGTGGGATTGCTGGATTATATGGTGGTTCTATTTTTAATTTTTTGAAGAACCACTGTATTGTTTTGCATAGTGGCTGGACCAATTTACATTCCCACCAACAGTGCATAAAGTGTTTCCTTTCTCCACATCCTCACCATTCTAACACGTGTGAAGTATATCTCATTTTGGTTTTGATTGCATTCTTTTAATATTCAATGATGCTGAGCACCTTCCTTTTCATGTGAGCAATTTGTACAAATGTTTACTCAGGTGTTCTGCCCATATTGTTTATTTTCTATTGAGTTTTATGAGTTCCTTACATATATTGGATATTAACCTCTTACTGGTATATTGTCATCAAAGAGAAAATTTTTGACAGGCATGGGGATGAGACGCAGTGTGTTCCTGGATTTGGTGTGTGGAAAGAGAATCCACACAATTTAATTTGTTGTGAATATTGAGGTGCTAGAGATTTCTAATTTATATCTTACACTTCTCTTCCTACTCCCTTATGTCTCTTTGTCTTTCTCAATGACAACAAAAGCAATAATACAGAGCCTAGAGTGCTTTTGAGGGGATTGAGTCACATTGACTAGATGCTGCAGGATGAACCCACTGAAGTCCTTCTGTCTGCAAACTTGTATAAGCTTTAATGACTGACATGGGAATCTTGTTTATATATAAACGTTATCAGTGTTTATACATCTTTTCCATCTTTCAAACAGAGTGGATGTAAGAAAGTCTTGAACTATCTTCTTATGTCAAACTCTCTCTCCTTAGGTCATGCTTTTTACTGGCAGAGCAACTCATTCAGATGTTGGGCAGGGCTGAAACCTGTTTGTTTTGTAGGTTAGACCTTTTAAAATAGCCTCCTGCCGAAACCGGTTTGGCTCAGTGGATAGAGCATCGGCCTGTGGACTGAGGGGTTCCAGGCTCGATTCTGGTCGAGGTCATGGACCTTGGTTGCAGGCACATCCCCAGTGGGAGGTGTGCAGGAGACAGCTGATTGATGTTTCTTTCTCATCAATGTTTCTAACTTTTTATCCCTCTCCCTTCCTTTCTGTAAAAAAATCAATAAAATATATTTTAAAAAATAAAATAGCCTCCTGTTTTTCTCAGCTGTCTTATCCCAAATGGCACATTGTGTGGGTTGATGATTAAATATGTGGAGTAGCTAAATATAAAACTTAAAATTCCCAAGTTTATCATCTCCAATGCAGTTCAGCTGTAGCTGAGGTAGCAGGGTTATACATTTGAGTGCTTTAAAATGCAGCAGTAGCTTCATCCAAAGCAGATGCATGTGCAGTGTATTAATCTGTTTCCCCAAATACTTTATTGCTGATATAGAATCAGTGCTCCTACCTTACAGGCTTTGTAAAAATTAGGAAATGATATGACTCTGTTGGGACCTTTGGCTACATCAGTCTTTCAGCTTGCAGGTATGCCTTAGTTCTCTCCTGTCAGCAAGTGAGCAGGTGTTCATTTGCTGCTGTTTGGCTGGGCCGCAGAGATGTGCTGTGCTTGTAATACTGCCTGTCACCAGCCAGTAGCTCATTCCTGAAAAGCTATAGTGAGAGGCTTATTGGAGGGCATTTGTAATCAGTGTCTCCAGACAGTGTCTGCTGCCTCATCATTTTACAAGCCTCTGAGAATTATTCTGTTTTTCACAATTTCCCCTCCATGCTGCCTTCTGGTCATTTTAAAGCCCTCCGTGCTTCCTTTAGAAATATGTAAATAGGAGATTTTCGACCCACGTGGACCTTGGCTCAGCATTAGTTTCTGAGAAACCCTCTGGACTGTGAGGGCTTTCACTTTCATTTGTGAAGTCCTGGGTCCATCCCTTAAGAAAGTGGAAGCATGCTAATTTTTGAGAAAATACTGCTACATAAACAAAGAGTGATGTTTATGCATTTAGTCAACAAAAATGGCCGAATTCCAGTAAGTCATGAAGATGTTTAAGGAATAGTAA